GAAAAGAAAAGAAAAGAAAAGAAAAGAAAAGAAAAGAAAAGAAAAGAAAGGAAAGGAAAAAAAAGAATGTTGGTAAGAGAGTTAACAATTCTATACCTCTCACCATGATCTGGGACTGCACTATATAATACCCACAGTCCTCAAGTAAGAGCTACCATGTGAAAGCTGGGGTCCAGCAGGCAACACTCACACGTCACATTTAAATATAACAAATATGGTCCTAGAAAGAATCAATGCTCATTTTACTCAGTAAGCCTCAGAGCAAATGAAAAAAAAAAGGTAATTCATAACAAAATTAATAACCTAAAAAGGATAAGATTATAGGGCTACAAGTTAAATGGCATCTTCAAAGATTTTTTTTTTGTCTTTAAAAAGAAGAGGCTGGAGAGATGGCTCAGTGGTTAAGAGCATTGCCTGCTCTTCCAAAGGTCCTGAGTTCAATTCCCAGCAACCACATGGTGGCTCACAACCACCATGAGGCCTGGTGCCCTCTTTAGGCATGCATGTAGACAGAATATTGTATACATAATAAATAAATAAATATTTTTTTTAAAAAAGAAAACAAATGTCTAAATTTTCATCTATTTCTAGCACTGAAAAACCACGTATATCAAGCCAGGTGGTGGTGGTGTACACCTTTAATTCCAACACTTGAGAGGCAGAGGCAGGTGGATTTCTGTGAGTTCGAGGCCAACCTGGTCTATAACAGCTAGTTCCAGGATAGGCACCAAAGCTACAGAGAAACCTTGTCTCAAAAAAAAAAAAAAAAGTATATACCAAATAAATTGAATTCTAAGAATAGGATGAGATGGTAATACCCAGGCCACATAATTCTAATGTTGGTCTATTAACATAACCTTCATAGCAAACAGTATTTGAAATTCAAATGGCAATGGCAATTTTTATTTTCTATCCTTCATTAAGGCTGAGGATGTAGTTCAGTGGTAGAGCGCATGTAGCATGTGTGCTCACACATATAAGCTCTGGTTCCATTCATTCTCACTAGTAGGAAAGCAGTTGGCAAATGAGTATGGCAATTTAAAAAAATAATTCAGAATTGAAAGGAAGCTTGGAACACTGAGGTAGCCTTTGTCCCTTAGAGTATAGTTAGTTACCAGGCAAAGGTCTTTAATTAGAAAACATGCAATATATAAAAATAAGCACAGTACATACTAAGCTTAAACAATGAGCACAAAGCAACTAGAAAGATGACAGCTGGCTAGCCACAATTAAACACAAAGTTAGAAGGTAATCTAATGAAAGAGTTTTTTCAAAGACAAAACAAGTAGTTCTCAGGAAGATAAAGTACAAAAAAATAACACACCAAAAAGGTACTGAAGATAAAACGAGGAAAAGATAAAAAAAGAAAAGGAAGAACAGAGGAGATAATGTCTGGAAGTAGTTATAGTTTAAGAACACATAAAAAGATGAAAGATGGAGCATGTGAAGGGGCCGGCCCTGCAGACCCAAAGCTGCAGGGCCTCCATGGCACAGGGCAACAACACGATATCCAAGGAGTCCCTGCGAGGACCCAACACTGATAGCAGAAACCAGAGGCCTCAAATGAGATCAATGACTCTTTGTAATAAACATTTGCAAGAAAAGATATATGGATAAAAAGTCTTAATACATGACTCACTATATCACACTAAAGCTTCCATGAAGAGATTTTTTCCTTTTCTTTTTTTCTCTTAAATTTTATTTTATTTTGTGAAGGAGGTCGCAAGGGCAGAGGGTGGGTGTAAAGGGAATGGAAATGAGTAGATCAAACTGCATGATGTGCAAAATACAGAGTAAAAAGAAAGTTTAATTTAAAAAATGTAAAATACAGGAAAACCTTAAAAAAAAAAAGGTGGTAGCATACACCTTTAATCCCGGTACTTGGGAGGCAGAGACAGGCAGATCTCTATAAGTTCCAGGCCAGCCTAATCTACAGATTGAGTTCCAGGACAGGCTCCAAAACTTTAGATAAACCCTGTCTCAAAAAAACAAATAAATAATCCTAGCCAGTTGATGGAGGCGCAGACCTTTGGAACCAAAAGAAGCAGAAGGATCTCTGTGAGTTTGAGGCCAGCGAGGTCCATAGAGCCAAGTTCCAGGACAGTCAGAGTTGTTATACAGAGCACCCCTATCTCGAAACAACAAAAATCCTGAGAGCTATAAAGAATGGTGTGAAGTAGCAAAGCATATGTAAATTATTATGAAGTGCCTTCTTCATGAAGAAATTTAGGAAAACAATGGGGTAAGAGACATACCTTTCTAACAATACTATCTTCCATATTTGACTTTTTATTGCTGCTTTGTTTACCCAATAAAGTAACCTCTAGTTGACAAAAAGGTTTTGGTAAAATATCACACTGGGTAAAAAATTTTCTCCATTCAACAATATACGCCTTTAGCAAAGCAGTATCATCTTGATGACTCAGGACACGCTGAAAAACAAAATTGTATTAATTTGAAATACACTTAAAATGTCTTGAAAATGAGAATATAAAGCAATGATTTTAAAATATATGATTCATTGTACATAGATCATAGATAGTGTAATGTTGACTTATAAAATAATAAGTATTATGTTAATTACTTTCTTTTAGAGTCTTACTAGAGCTAACTGATTGGAAGTCAGATGTACTGAGTATACTAAGAAAGTATGATCCTCGTCAATAAATGGATACATATAAGAATAGTCATACTACGTCTATGAAAGAAACTATTGCCCTAAATATTCTGTAAATAAATGTTCACAGCCATAATGTTTACAGTTATTTTATCCAAAACAGTAGTAAATGTAAACTGGCAGTGATGTTTCAGTCCCGTAGCTGGGGAGGTAGAGGCAGCTAGATCTGAGTAGCTCATGAAGTCTGGCCTACAAAGCAAGTTCCAGGAGGGCTAGGGCGACACAGAAAAACCCTGCCTTAAAAATCAAACACAAATTACCAACAACAGTAAGTGGAGGAAATGTCAAGGCCCATTACCTGATGAAAGGTAAACAAACAGTATGAGGTACAAGGTACAAAACAGAGCAGTACTCAGCCCGAGAATGCAGCACACAGCTAAGTCTTGAAAACAACCCAAGTGAAGACCAGTCATAAAGGTCACAGTTTAAGAAAAGCCAAGAACAGAAAAATTTGTGGTTTACTGGAACAGGGTCTAAGCAGAGAGGTAACAGGAAATGACTGCCTGCTAACAGAAGTGTTTCTTCAGAGGGGGATGAGATAGTCTAGGATTAACGGCTGATGATCTATAAACTAAACCTCTCTGCAACATACATTTGAAGTGTGGAATTTTGTTTCTTGTTTGTTTCTTCCTCCTTCCTTTTTGAGGCAGACTCCATTATGCATTCTTGGGTTGGCCTGGAACTCATTCTGTGAAGCAGGCTTACTTCCCACACAAAGATCAGCCTGCCATTGCCTCCTGAGTGCTGGGATTAAAGGTGTGCACTACCACATCCAGCTAAAAGAGTAAATCTTATGTCATGCAGATTATTTCTCTTTGAAGGGTTGAAATAGTGTTGAGGTCATACCTAGAGCCTAAACACAGTAGAGGCAAGTAGATCTCAGTGAGTCAACCTAATCTATATAATGTACACCACAACAGCCAGGGCTATGATGAGCAGCTGTCTCAAACAAAACAAAACAAAAAACTAGTTCTCATTGGCCTGACACTTGCCAAGTAAGCTAGACTCACTGACCAGAGTTCCAGGAATCCACTTCCCCAAGGCTGAGATTACAAATAAATGCCATGATAACAATCTTATTGCTATTACTGCTGTATTAAATTATGTGTGTAGGAATAGGTACATATCACAGCATACATGTACAGTCGTGTATGTACCTGCATAAATGAGTGCTGATGTCTGTATAGGTTAGAAACAATGGATCTTCTGGAAGTAGAATTACACATGTTATGTGTGTTTGATATGGGTGTGAAGTACCAAACTCAGGTTCTCTGCAAAAGCAATATATGTTCTAAAGCACTGAGCCATTTCTCTAGCACCAGATATATAGATTTTTAAGGCAATCCAAGGGGACAGGCACAGTGGCGAACATCTTTAACCCTAGCATTAAGAAGACTGAGGCAGGAAGAACTGATGCTAGCCTGGTCTACAGAGTAAGTTTGAGAAAAGCCAGAGATAGAGTGAGACCCTGTCTCACTGTCCAAAACAAAGAAAGAGAGAAGCCTAAGGATGGGGTGTGGCTCACTGATGAATACATGCTTATTAACTAAGCATCTAAGGCTCTATAATAGGTGTCAAATATCAAGGTAAAAAAAATTGTGAAACAAAGGTGAAAACATGCACAACTTACCGCTTGTGCTTGCTTAATAAACTCAAGAATATCTTCTTTTAAAGCCTGATGAATTTTTGATGAGCCTTTATCATCCCAGAGACAGACTGCATGTACATCCCTGTAAAATCAAAACAGGTGGGAAACATTAGTAATGAAACAGCAACAGAGACAAGCATTCATCTTAACTTCTACAGTTCCCATGGACCGCTGTAAAGTAACAGTGCTAAACCCTTCACAAGAACCAAACAAGTAACTGTTTTCATTATTTCATGGGTACTGATTGCTTGCTTTTTTCCCCCTAAACAGGGTTTCTTTTCATAGTCCTGGCTGTCCTCAAACTGCCTACCAGGCTGGTCTGTAACTCACAGAAACCCACCTGCCTCTGCCTCCTGAAAGCTGAGATTAAAGATGTGTACCACCACTGGTGTGGGAGAATTGTCTGTATTCTGTCAATCATATTTTAATAAAACGCTGATTGGCCAGGCAGGCAGTATAGGCGGGGAAGCCAGACAGGAAGTAGGGGTGGAGCAAAGAGACTGGAAGTATTCTGGGAAGCTCCCTCTGTCACTCCTGCGCAGACCACCGAAGAGACAGCATGTAACTTGCCCAGCTGAGAAAGGTATGGAGCCATGTGGGATAACATAAGTTATAAGAGTTAACAAGAAGCCTGACCTAATGGGCCCAATCAGCTTTATAACTTATAGAGATCTCTGTGTGATTGATTTTCTCTGGGACTTGCAGGCTGTGGGGTACCGGGCGGGAACAGATACCCCAACAAGTCGGCCCTCATGTTACACACCACCACCTAGCAACTTCCCTTAATTCTCCATGTTATATAAAAATTCATTACAAAAGTATGTCTCTATCTTTTAATCTCTATCCCCAAAGTTAATTTCTACTAATATTTTGTTAGACAGTAGTGTGGTACATGCCAGTAGTCCCAGCACTGAGAGGCAGAGAAAGGAGGACCAAACCAAGAAAGCTTGCCCAGCCAGCCCATTTAGTTGAATTGGTGAGCTCCAGGTTTAGTAAGTAAAGACTTTATTTTTTATACTCTTTTACATTGTTATAACCTTTGGTATAAAAGCAACAGAGGAAGGCAATGCATCCAAAGTCAATGTTTGGCCTCTGCATACACATATGCATGGGGCACATGCATACACGTGTATTACACACACACACACACACACACACTTCTGGGGATCAACTCAGGTTCTCTTGTTAGCATAGCAAGCACTGTATATACTGAGTCTTCTCTCTAGTATAATTATTGGATTGTGATTTTTCCCTACTCTACTACTATTTGATAATTGATTTGGTAAGGCTGAGTATGCACTAATATGCAGTGTTTTGGTTTACTTGTTTGTTTGTTTGAGACAGGTTTTCTGTGTGTAGGTCTGGGAGTCTTCTGCAGACTAGGTTGGCCTCAAATTCTCCAGAGTGCTGGGATTAAATGTATGTGCCACCACCCCCCAGCAATATTTAATATTTCTTGTAACTTAGTGTCTTTTCCTGTTGTAACATAAACCTATTCAAAGAAATTTTGAAATTCTGGATTCATCCTGACTGATTCACAAATATTCCATGTCTTTTCTAGTAAAGATATAAAGTTATCTTTTCTATTTAAAAAAGCTAGTTCCAGGAGAGGCTCCAAAGCCACAGAGAAACCCTGTCTTGAAAAAATAAAAATAAAAAATAAAAAAAGGCTTCTGTTCTTCTCAGTTCTGAATGAATGAAAAAACTGAAGTTCCATTACTGAATGGGGTACACTGACTTTATAAGAGAAAAATAAATGCAGCACCTGGGAAGTCCCGAGAAAAAGATCATTACTACTGTTGGAAGGTTTCCCTTAAAAGAAAATGGCCAGAGCTGATTTTCTAAACTGCTGTGGGTGCTGGCTTTCTATTCAGACTGCAAGCACACTCAATACCTACTGGCACTAACTGTGAGACAGCTGGGATAACCTTCATTTCTTTCTGCACTTGCCATGCGGAACACTTGTTGCTCAGCTTAGTGGTATGACAGGTAAGCAACACAAGGACGAACACAGGAACCTGATGTCATAGCCTGAGATTAATTTGCTGGCTGAACTGGAAAGTCCAAGGTGAATGATGGTTCCACAACACTCGCAGAATCATTCACTTGTACTTCTAACTAATGTAGACTTTGCTTGCTATAGCCTAACAATTTTTTTTTAAAAAATAACTTTGTTTACAGTGGTAAAATGTGTCCTCTGGAACTAAATATGCTTGTGTACATGCCCTGATCAAAGACACTACCTTAGCCCTGGTAGTCCTTTCAGGTTTGCTTCAACTTACTTAGGCTCTGTGCCTGAATTAATGCTTCAGGCCTTGGCTATATGTTCCTGCTCCTACCTTTCCAGGCCAGTACTGAAATTAGACCAAGGTCTTTTTCTTGTTAAGCAAGTACCATTGAGGTATACCTGGTAGACCAAAAGTTAGTTTTTATAAGAAGTATGAGGGTGGGAACACTGGAGAAATGGTCCAGTAGTTAGGAATACTTGTTCCTCTCTCAGAGGACTTGGTTTCAGTTCTCATCACCCACATGGAGGCTTACAGTACAAGGGGATCTGACATACTCTATTACTTCTGCAGGTACCAGGCATATATACAATGTACTAGCATATATACAGGCAAAGACACTCATACATATTAAAGTAAATAAATCTAAAAAGTTCACAGAGAAACTGAAGGAGAGCCGGGCGGTGGTGGTGCATGTCTTTAATCCTAGCACTCAGGAAGCAGAAGAAAGTGGATCTCTGAAAATTTGAGGCCAGCCTGGTCTACAAAGAGTTCCAGGACAGGCTCCAAAGTTACAAAGAAACCCTGTCTCGAATTCCCCCAACCCCCCAAAAAAGGAAACCAAAGGAGAAAGCCATTTGGCTTGTAAACTTTGTGTTAATGGGGCTGCTTTAACTTGCTGCACTGCTTCATGAGGATGTGCCCTAAGACATCTGGCCAAGGGCTGAGCAGTAACAAAGCAGATGTGAGATTGAATTCCTTTGAAAAATCTGATTGTAAGGTTGGTCTTTAACTGGTATGTAGCTGAGAACATTTAAATAAAGCTTCCTGAAATGATAATACTGGTTCAGTGTACCTAAACTGTTGATAGGAACATGATTTATACTGAAAGCTTACACTTTCTAGAAGTCCAGAATTTGAATGACTGCCAGTCTTGCTGCTGAAGAAATTAAATGTCCCAGGACTAGAGAGATGGCTCAACAGTAAAGAGCACTTGATACTCTAGCAGAGGACTGGAGGCACCCATGATGGCTCACTAACTCCATTTTCAAGAGGTCCAATACTCTTGTGACCTCCAGCAGCACCAAGCAAATATACTCATACACATAAAATTTTAATGTCCCATGTGAATTCTCTGGAAAAGGAGTCTTGGAAATTTGTGCTTAATCTCCCAACTGCATACCACATGCCTTTCCCCGTAAGGTCAGGCTTGTCAGTTCACCTAAGAGATCAGGGAATTGTACTAGCAATATGTACTAGCAATCCCCATAATAACCAGTAGGGGTAGACAGGTAAACAGGTCACTTAAACTCACTATGCATCTGAGTATACAAAGACACCAAAACTTGCTCTGTTAACAAATAGAATTACTGAGTTACTTACGAAAACAGATCAAACCACTGCTGTTTTGTTACAGATTCCTGGCGTAAAAGCTTCAAAACAATTGGACGCATGAAATCCCACTTGTCTTCAAACTGAAGAGAACCTTTATTCTTAAAATAAGAGATAAAAGAGAGTTTAATTTTTAAATGATTTTTAAAAAATCTCACATCTTTTTTATTTTGAAATACCAAGAAAAACAGATCTCCCATTGAAGTCAGTAAAACATAGCTCATCAAATTGAGGCAGGACCAAGATGCTCCCCCTGCATCAAGGCTACAAGGCATCCCAGCATGAGGAATAGGTTCTAAAGGTCAGCTCATCACCAGAGACAGGTCCTGACCCCACTGCTAGAGCCCTACAAAGAGACCAAGACTGTCACCTACATGCAGAGGGTCTAGATCAAACCAGAGTCCTTATAAGCTTAATTTTATAGCAGAAAATCAGAGAAAGATAACTGCAAACAAAATTCTGAGCTGAAATTATAGAGTAAAAGCATAGCCCACTGTGCATGAGACCCGGGGTTCAATCCAAGAGTGGAGATTGGAAAGACAGCAATACTAAGATTGATTGCATGAAAGTGTACAGTGACAAATTTGCTCTAAAAGGGTCTGGTCCTTCCTCTTGGCTCTTTCTGATAGATATTCCCTGAACAAATGGAATGTGTACCTAGTATGAGCCTGAGAACCTTAGGTCCTGTGTATGAGACAAACTAACCAGTGTAATTTTGGTATGGGACTTAACCACAGCTACAAGATCTTAAATGCAGGAGCTGGCCAAATTTAGAAAGATTAACAATGTAATTTAGAGAATGACTTAATGTCAATCTAGAGATTCAAAGTTCCAAGGGAGCAACCATTTATGTCTTTGTGAAGAAATTCCACACAAATTGTCAAGGCAAAAGTTAGATAAGCTTCCTTAGGCATAATTTGTGTATGTTGTCATATACTGATATCAGAAGAGAAATATCTGCAGACTACAAGGAGGAAAGCAGAAGCTGTGCTTGGACCAGGTGGTGGTGGCTCACGTCTTTAATCCCAACATTTGGAAGGCAGAAGCAGGTAGATCTCTATGAGTTCGAGGCCAGCCGGGTCTACAAGAGTTAGTTCCAGGACAGCTAAAACTGGTACACAGAGAACCCTGTCTTGAAAAACCAAAAAAAAGAAAGAAAGAAAGAAAGAAAGAAAGAAAGGAAGGAAGGAAGGAAGGAAGGAAGGAAGAAAGAAAGAAGAAAAAAAAAGTTATGTTTGTCACTTCCCAGACGACCCTGGCCTATGTTTCTCCCCATTTAATCGACCTAATGTTATATAATAAGTAACAGTGATGATTATACCAGCTTGCAGTAAATTCTGTGTCTTTCTGGTGTTGGAAATGAGTAGATACATTACAGAGTAAACCCTCTAATTTTGTAGCTGTCCTAAACTTCACAAAACAAAAAGCTGTCAGACTAGAGAGATGGCTCAGAAGTTAAGGGCACTTATGACTCTTGTAGAACTGTAATTCTAGTTCCAAGGCATCTGACACTCTCAGGCTTCCAGGGACACCATCCATGCATATGGTGCACAAACATGCTGTAATGGTCTGCTCTGTCCCTTTAAGAGACAAGCCACACCTACTCCTCCCACCCCTGTCAAGCAGTGGCAAGCTGATCTTCAGCTTCCAGCCTGAGTCCCCACCCTCTAAAAGAGGCAGCTTCTGTCTCTCCCTTCTTCCCACTTCTTCCCTCCCCCCCCACGTCTCTGTCTCTCTGTTCTCCCCCTTCTCCTCTTCCCTTCCATAATCCACTAAATAAATACCCAACCTCACTCTGCATGGTGTGTGCCTGTCCATTTCTGTCTCTCGCCCACCGCGTGGCTCCCTGCCGGGACCAGCGTGGTCTCATCTGTCTCTCCTCGTGGGACTGGCTGACCCATCAAGGTCTCTCACGCACCACTGGGACTATTGGCCTGCGGCAGCCACTTCAAAAACTGTGCCATCCCTGCCTGGGACTGGCTGCTCTCAGAACCTGACGCTTTGGGGAACTGTGGTGCAGTCTCATGGCCCACTGCCCACTGCAGCCACTTGGGGATTCACAGCATGTTACTTAACCAGTCTTCTAGGATTTCACTCTGTCATAGTTTACATGCATATGGGCATCGTCAATCTGTCTTAATTTCCTGTGTAAAGTCTACCACCAAAGCCATAGGGCCACCTTTTCTTAAGGCCCCCATGGACAAGTGTAGGGTGCCAACATCAAGCACAGATCCCAGCTGCAGAAGCTGATGACCAGCCAGGCAGCATGCATGGGCAACGTGCAGCCACCTACTCAGGGATCCGCAGCATTTTACTTAATCCATTACACATGAACAAAAATTTGAGCTCAAGACTCTCTGATGTGCCAATGTGTTGAACACACGGAGAGTTCAAGTTCCAACTTGAATAAAGGCTCTTTGTTTTTACATATGGGAGTTAGTCTTCGTGGTCTTTTGGGGGTCCCTGTGACCTATGCATAACAGGGTACATGCATAAAGTTCTGAGTTCAAATTCCAAACACCCAAATAAAAAGACAAACATGGCCATGATCTCACCAATAATCCCAGGACTGTGGAGTAGAGAAAAGAAGATCACTGGGGCTTGCTGTCACAAGCCAAGCTCCAGGTTCAGTGAGATACCTTGACCCTCCAGGGAGTAAAGCATAAATAAGGGTAGAGCATTCAACATCCTCCTCTGCCCTCTGCAGCTGCACACATATGCATATACACTCCACATGCACCGTCACTCCACCTTCAGAGATCCACCTGCCTTTCTCTGCCTCCCAAGTGCTGGGAACTGCCTGTGAACTTTAACTTTTAAAATTTTTATCTGCTGGGCAATGGTGGCACATGCCTTTAATCCCAGCACTCGGGAGGCAAAGGAAGGAGGTCTCTGAGTTCGAGGCCAGCTTAGTCTACAGAGTGAGTTCCAGGACAGGCTCCTAAACTACATAGGAAAATCATGTCTCGGGGGGGAGGGGGGAATTACACTTATTTATATAATGTGGGTTCATGGGTGCCATGGCATGCGTTTGGAAGTCAAAGGACAACTTTTAAACAGGTTCATTTCTTTCCACCATGTGGGTCACAGAGGATTTAAGTCAAGTTATTAGGCTTGGCAACAAACGCTTTACTTGTTGATCCATCTTAAAACCCATACTAATTATCTGAATTTCATTTTTGAGGTACTGAGGCTTGAACCTAGCCAAGTGTTATATCCTTAACCCTTTGAAGGTTAAATTCCCATTGAGCTACACCTAGTCTGGCTCCAGAATGCTAGCACCTAGCCTTAATCCACCTTTTGTTTCTGAGTTACATTGTTTCTCTTTTTGCCCTCTAAGTGAATCTTTACTTACCCAAAGGTTCAAAGCCTATGTAAAACTTGGATGGGAAAAACCCAGAACACTGTAATTTCTTAATTTACATTTGGCATTGTCCCTTGGGAGCTTAGTCAGGATGTTTTGGGGTAAGTTTATTGCTAAAACTTGTTAAAAGTGTAAATTTGGAGAACAATAAAAATACCCTTGGCTACGGGAGGGGTCTCAGTCTTCAAGAGGCTGAGTCCCTCTGCAGCTGAAAATGAAGACAACCTTAAAATACCCTGTCCCAGGAACCCCCGTGAACCCACACCTCTTCAACAACACCCTTATAACGGGTTCTTTTTTATTTGAGACAGGGTCTTTCTGTGTAGTCCTGGAACTTGCACTTGCTCTGGTCTCAAACATACAGATATCCACCTGCTTCTGCCTACCAAGTGCTTGGATTAAAGATGTACGCCACCATTGCCCGACTTATCACAGATGCTTAACCTGAGCGTGAAACTCATGGAATCTGCAAATTCCCTAAATTATACTCCTGAAACCATTTTTCCACATATTGTCTGACAACTTATATCAAAAAATCATCTGGGGTAGTGACTTTACATATAGATTCCTAACCCTGCCACAGACCTACCTGACCTACTGGAATTGAAATCAGCATACTTAGCAAATTAATTATAATCATGTAAAAATGTTAAAGGGTCTATGAACCTAAAGGTTACTACTACTAACAACCTACCAAGAACCATCATATATGACTAAAAGGAAGTGATGTTTCCTCTTTAAAAAAAAAAAAAGACTTATTTATTAAGTATACAGTGTTCTGCATGTATGCGTGCAGGCCAGAAGAGGGCACCAGATCTCATTATAGATGGTTGTGACTCCCCACTGTGGTTGCTGGGAATTGAACTCAGGACTCTGGGAGAGCAGTCAGAGATCTTAACCTCTGAGCCACTTCTCCAGCCCCAGAAGTGATATTACTTACATTCACTTACGCAGGTTATCTTACATTATTTTGTCTTGCCCCACGCACCTGCTACCAGTAATATCATAAAGATACCTGAGACATAACAACTAAAACTCAGGGTTAGTCAGCTAAGCTTTCTCCCTTCCCCAACTACAGAGTTCATGAAAGGAATTTATAAAAATGTCGTTCAGGAACCCCAAGATCAAGTTCTCAGAACAAGTTCTCAAAACAATGGGGTTTTATTTACTTCAGAGGAAGAAAAGACAGGAGATAGTGAAAAAGGGAAAAGGGGAATGAAGCCATGCAAAGGGGGTAGGGGTATTTGTGTCAGAGGGACAAAGGACTATCTCTGTATAGAAAGGATACAGACGTGCCACATGGTAGTTTCTGTCCCACTCAGTCGAGCAGTCACCCAGTCCCAAAGAAACACACAGGAGCTTATATTAATTACAAATTGTTGGGCCTATTAATCTTAGGCTTATTAACAACTAGTTCTTACAATGTAAATTAACCCATAATTCTTGTCTAGCAATGTGGGTTTGTACTTTTTCTACTGCTATTATTCTCCTATAACTTTATTTCTCTTTTTTTAAAAAAAAATTACTGCCGGCCGTAGTGGCACATGCCTTTAATCCCGCACTTGGGAGGCAGAGGTAGGTGGATCTCTTTGAATTCTAGGCTAGCCTAGTCTACAGAGCAAGTTCCAAGATATGTTCCAAAGCTACACAGAGATACCCTGTCTCAAAATAAATAAATAAATAAATAAATAAATAAATAAACAAAATTATGTGTGTGTCTTTATTCATGTATGAAAGTATGTGTAGGTGCCAAACAGAGGCCAGAAAAGAAAGAACACTAACTGGCTCTTTTTGAGCTGAATTTGCAGTTATGAAATAACATGTGGGTGCTGGGAACTACAGGACCAACTAGTGTTCTTAACTGCTGAGTAATCTCTCCAATCACTACTATGTATGTTGTGCAATATTTTGATTGTATTCTGACAAATAAAGCTTGCTTGGATTCAGAGGGCGGAGCTAGCCACTATTGACCTAAATTAACCATACAGGTTTGGAAAGCTGTAAACAGAAAGGAAACAGGAAGTAGTAATGTGGGGCACAGAGAGGATCTCAGCCCTTCTAGATTGAGAAAGGGTAGAGGTGACTGGTAGCTGCTCTCTGCTTCTCTCATCTTTCAGATTCTTACTCCAATATCTGACTATTTTTTATTGATATACATTAATTAGATTAATATGTCTTGTATATATTTATTTTTATCTCAGATGGCCTAGAATTCACCATGGAGAAAAGACTGGCCTCAAACAGCCTCTGCCTTCACTGCGTAACTTTAGCTGGTCTTGAACTCAGAGATCCACCCCCCTGCCTCCCACCAGTCACCACACTCATTTCTCTATATGTCCTTCCTATGTGAAAAGAGTGTACAAATTGTAGGAGTCCTAAGACTTCCTGGTGCTGGAAAAAAAAAAAAACCCTCAATCTCTTCTTAATACTTTCTCATTCCAACCAACTCAATCTCTAGGGGCACTTTTGGCAATTGCTACAGATAGAGTAGTTACATCAGAAAAAATAAATACCAGTTAGATGCTAAAATCTGATATAGAAAGAAAATTGAAATTTTTTTTGTTCTTGGACCTCATAAAACATTAAATACTAACTACAGAAACACTTTTAAGAGTCTAAAAAAAAAATTCAAGGTTAAGACCTTGTCAATTACGCTGCAGAGCTAAGCTTTAAATCCTAACTAAGCTACAAAACACCAAACCTCCAATCTACAAAAGAAATGTCTTAACTGATGAGCAAAGGAAACTCCTAATTATGAACCCTGAGTTATGAATGTTCCTACTGCCTACCTGAATCCTATCTCTAACATTCTAAGGTCTGCCCTGCTTTACTCAATTACTGCTGAGAATATCAAGTAGGACAGACTCCTAAGTGCTTGTGTAGAATTGTTTCACACAACTCTTCCTTGCCTCTCTGTCCTTCATCTTTACAATACTTCTCTTCAAAGGGCACTCTTCTCAATGTCTAATAGGCCAATAAGCAGACTTTGGGAAACTCAAGGTGGAGGGGGCCAAGTCATGGACACCAAGAAAGGAACATACTTGCTATACCAGAGGCTGCACAAAAGTAGAAAGATAACTTACATTAATGAATAAACTAGGTAGAATCTTTCTCTCTCTCTCTCTCTCTCTCTCTCTCTCTCTCTCTCTCTCTCTTTCAAGGCAGGGTTTCTCTGAGTTACTATGGAGCCTGTCCTGGAACTAGCTCTTGTAGACCAGGCTGGCCTTGAACTCAGAGATTCACCTGCCTCTGCCTCCCAAGTGCTGAGTTCAAAGGCATGCACCACCACCACCAGCAACTAAGTTGAATCTTGTAATGTCTTGAAGATCATTAGCATTTCCATGGTGGAAATAGCAGAATATTCTTGATACCAGGCAAAAAGAAGCGTGACTTCAGGTTTGTCTAAAAAGTACAGCATTAGAACCAACTAGAGTGGAAATGATGTAACTTTTAAAGCTGGGGTTGCAAAGATGGTTCAGTGGTTAAGAACACCTGTTGCTCTTAAAGGGGACCTGGATCAGTTATCACCACCCACAAGGTAGCTCACATCCCTAACTCTAATTCCAGGTGATTCAATGCCCTCTTCAGACCTCCACAGGTACCAGGAATGAACATGATTCACATACATATATGCAGCATAAATATTCATACACAAAAGTAAGTTACAAATTTTTAAAAGAAGCAAAGCTGTGGTGGCACACGACTTTAATCCCAGCAACCTATAAATTTGAGGATAATCTGGTCTACAGAGTTAGTTTCAGGACAGCCAGGGCTACACGGAGAAACCCATCACAAAAAAAAAGAAGCAAAGAAGAGAGAGGAGGAGGAGGATGAAAGAGAAGGAGGAGCTCTGAATTAACTTTTGAAAATGAAGATCTTGCTATGTGACCCTGACAAGCCTAGAACTCACTATGAAGACCACGGGGGTTTCATGCCTACTTCTGCCTACCCAGGGCTGGGATTAAAGGTGTTTAAAGAGGTGGAAACAAGACATCAAGATGATGAGATAGGGACTTCTGTTGTGAACCATGAAAGACTAACAGGAATCAAACTTCTCCTCCTGCTTACACATCAGGAAAGCTGAAAGGCAGCACAAGGCAGTGCTTCCTCAAAAATGAAAGATGAAGTCCAAAACGAAACGAAACAAAACGAAAGGAGGAGTCTAAAACTCAACATACTAGGTTAGAGAATTTTCAGGGCTCAGCAAGAGAAAAGGAACCTGAAACCAGCCCGGTAGTTTCACTAAGTTTAAAATCCAAGAATCTGAAGGGTTGTAGAAATGACTAGAATTAAATATGGGCATAGGGGAAAAAGACAGAGACAGAAAGAACAAAGTAACTGCAGATCTACAAAGGAGTCCTCAAGCTTTGGCTGAGCATTAATGGTGCATGCACATAAAAACCTGACTGAGGAAAAACCATTACAAAGGAGGAGGCAGAACACTTGCCAGAGTGTTATAAATAGTGTTTGCACCAGCCAGGATGGAAACATGCTTAAAATGGCAGCCATTAGGTAGCCATCAGAAAGGTACAATGCTTATGCTGGAGAAGCTACAGCTCCAATGCTGAATGTGGTGCCCAGGGTGTTATGCTGAGACCTTTAGCTAGTAGGACCCTGTGGGAGACCCTTAGGTTATTGGGGTTATGCCTGAAGACTGTAGGATCCCACCATCTTCTATCTTTGTTTCTTACTAGTAGTTTTGCTCATTCATCCACACCATGATGCTTGCTACCCAAAAAGAATCAAAGCAACAGGATCACTCAGTCAAAAACTGCCATATCATTTCCTGACTGTCTATACATGACGCCAAACCGCTATGATTAACTAGTGGCTTGTCCCTCCATGATTTTTAGGCAAGCTTTATGTAGAGTACAAACAAAATATCACCACATTTCTCCTTTTTGTCTAAAATAAAAAAGGTTATAACTAATAAAAAATACAATAAGTACAATAGCTATATAATATATACAAGCAATAAATACATCAACAATGTCTAGTCCACTAGCAATTGACAAATTCAGAGAAAATACTCCATATCTAGCCTATCTTGTTGAGTTCAAAAGGTTGTACCTAATTCACTTTCTACACTAACAAAAACTTGCATTACCAAAACTATCTTTTAACGTCTCTTAACCTTATACACTTTATACCTCTATAGTGAATTTCTTTTCTGCATCTGGTAAGGAAGACAACTATAACTATAAAGTCTTCAACTACATCAGAGACCCAAGGAGGAAATAAATATTACCTGAGTAAGCAGGAAGTACAAGCAAGCAACTACCAAAAAAAATGTGAGAAATGACAAAAAACAGCTGGCTGCCTGGACAGTCACCCAAAGCTCTTCTGCAACGTTGGGGCATCCACCTTCGGTATACAGGCCTAGAATATCTGACAGTCCTTTCTATGAAGCAGGATATTCTGAAGGGCTATCCTACCTTGTCTTGGCAAAGTTTGGCAGTCCTTTCTTGTGTGTCCTGCTTGTCCAATTAGGACAGGATACTGTAAGCAGTCGAGGTAAGGGCATTTTCTTGCCCAGTGGCTTACTTCTGCCACACAGAAAGTAAACTCCATATAAAGTTTCTTCAATGCCCATCATCTTCTCTGAAATAGATTGGTACTGCCAGGAGCAGCTCATTGTCATAAAAAAAAGAAAAGGACCTGTTATTAAAACATCTTATATGCCATATTATGTAGTTTTTGAAGTGTTTGAAGAAGACCTGTCTATCTAAAATTCATCTGTCTGACCTTGAAAATATACCTAATATGACTACAAGTTTGGTTGTAATGACTAATTACTAACTTGCATTTCTTTATATCCTAAATAAATGGTAATAAGAACACTGTTAAATGAGATATACAGGTACAGAAACTTGAATAATATTAGAAATATAATTAGAAGCTGGGCAGTGGTGGTGCACGCCTTTAATCCCAGCACTTGGGAGGCAGAGGCAGGGGGATCACTGTGAGTTCAAGGCCAGCCTGGTCTACAAGAGCTAGTTCCAGGACAGGCTCCAAAGCCACAGAAAAACCCTGTCTCGAAAAAAACCAAAAAAAAAAAAAAATAGAAAAAAAGAAATATAATTAGAGTATGGTCTAAAAAATTAATCTCAAATTTGTATCAATATACAAAGGTCCATATCAATGTAAAATACTTTTTTGTTTAAAATTACATTCAATAATCCACCTTTTTATCCCATTTCTATATCTCTCCTTTTCTTTTCAGAGTAGACTCAATAACCAGTCTTTATAGCCTATCATATCTATATCCCCATGTTTTTTTCAAAATAAGAACTCAGAATCTAACCTCTTTTGATCAATGTTTCCTGACCATTACCAATAACAACCTAAACAATGACAAATATTCACAAGCCAATAAACAGACCAAAACCCAGCCACCCCACCTTTTGAGAATGGGGCAAGTTGTTCTTAAATTTACTTCCTGCTGTCTGGGTGTTTTGACACACTAAATTTCTGCATACTCAGGTTTTAAGTGATTGAAGGAATTTTAGGCAAGAAAAAAAAAGAGTTGAGCACAGCTTAATCCTGTGGATCTTTTAAGAGAGGTTTTCATGATTCAGCAGTATCAGAAAAAAAGCCACACAGTTTTGAAATAAGCAGCTTTCTCAGGCCTTGCTGCCAACACAAACTCTGGCTCTTTCAGGAGGACAAGCATTTAAATGGGGTTTGTGAGCAGCATCCTGCAAGTTATTTGGTGGCTACATAGGCCAGCTTGTTATCAGACAGATACCACCCAACAATCTCAGAGGCAGTGAATGGACTTCCACCACATTGACTGGGCAGAGCAAGCAGGAAGGTTCATATTTGCTCTACCAATGCCACCACTTGTTTTTAAGAGCTTAGCATTTTAAAAAGTACTCCTGGGTCAGAAAATAATTACAAATATGCAGTAAAGACAAATCCAGATGAAAAAGATGTCTAAATGGGTCACAGTGTTGGATGAATGCATGTAGGCTTGGGAGAGAGAAGAGTAAAGACAAGACAGTCATAGATTAACAGAATAAAAATAATTAAATATTAAACTTGTAGAAAAAGAAATAAATAGAGTAATAAATAAGCCACATAAAGATGGAATGTACACAGAGAGTCTGAATTATGCATATTATTGTGTTTTCTTTGAATTTTTTGACTGCAGAGAGACATTAATTCTGGGGACTGCTAAGCTGAACAAACACAAATATTTTAAAAGTTTCTTGATTCCAAAATTTAAGTCTAAGGATATGTTGCTTTAGAAAAGAAGTTCTTCTTTTGTTTCCACAGAGGATGAGAACCTGTGAATTAATTCCAGACAAATGTGGTTTGATGGACCAAGACCACTTGAAAGATCACCGTGAACACCCCCCAAAAATTACTTTGTCCAATAAAATGCAGGAAGTAGTTTAGAAAGAACTATGCCCAAATTCCCAAATACTGTTTATAAATGTTTCTTTTTAACATTTATAATTAAAATTTAAAGAGGATATGCTATAGACATGGATACTTTGCATTGGTATAAATCTTGGTTTACTGATACAAATTTAAGATCAATTTTGTTATTAGTTTATTTCTGTTCTTGATTAAGGTATTATGTTTGTGCAGTTCATTTAGAAATATAATGTATAATTAAGAAATATACTTTAATAGAGAGTCATCTATAATAGTCAAGCTTGTAGTCATGCTAGTTAGGTTTTCTAGATGTACAGAGATGTGTTTCAGATGGATATACTTCAGATCTTTGAAAGAATACAGACTATGGCATTTAAAATATTTTAAAAACTTAGGATTTTTTTCGTGACATGAGACACATCTGCTCCTGGCAGCACCAATCTACTTCAAGAGAATGATGGGCACAGAAGAGGCTCTTTATGGAGTTTGCTAGCCATTTGGGCAAGAAACTGCTTTTGCCTGGCCTGCTTGATGTTAATGCTGTATGAACTGGACCCGCAGTACCCACAGAGAAATGACTTCTGAATTTGCCTAAAGGTGAGATGGTCCTTCAGGTTCCTGCTTAATAAAAGAGCCTGCCAGATATTCTACAGGACACAAAAAAGTGACTGACAAACTGCCAATATAGGCTGAACTGTCCTTAAAATGTCATGCTTCATGGAAAAGTCTGCTGAATATTATGACCTGTAGGTTGTATTGGTGTTCCTAATACAATACAAGGAAGAATCCAGCTAGTTCTCTTGTTTTGGAAACAGTTATTAATCTCTCCCAAAAAATTACTACAAGCTCTAGCCAAGGTTCACTTTCTGGCCAAAACTGGTCAATTTCATCATTAGTAAAAGGTACTACAATTCCAGATAATTGATATAGTGTAGACAGAAGTTTCTGTCCCACCCAGTCCAGCAGTCATTCAATCCCAAAGAAACACTCAAGGACATATTAATTATAAACTGTTTAGCCTGTTAGCTCAAGCTTGTTATTAACTCGCTCTTACAACTTAAACTAACCCATAATTCTTATATATGTTTAGTCACATGGCTTGGTACCTTTTCTGAGTGAGGCATTGTCATCTTGCTTCCTCTGTGTCTGGTTTCTGACTGTCTCTCTGCCTTTTCTCTTCCTAGTATTCTCCTAGTCTGGTTGCCCCACCTATACTTCCTGCCTGGCTACTGGCCAAACAGCATTTTATTAAACCAAGTTTATATATAAGAAAATTTTGAATAATTTATTTATGCAATGGCAGAAGTCAATCACTGAAAATTTAGAATGCCAGGGGGCTAGAGAGGTGGCTCAGAGGTTAAGGGCACTATTTTTTCTTCCAGAGGTCCTGAGTTCAATTCCCAGCAACCACATGGTGGCTCACAACTATCTATAATGAGATCTAGTGCCACCTTCTGGCCTGCAGGCATACATGCAGGCAGAACATTGTATACATAATAAATAAATCTTAAAATAAAATTGAGAATGCCAATTTGGGTCATTTGTATTGCACTGAAGCCAGAGTGGGGCTTTTTAATAAAATTGGAGTCTGTGGAGAAAGAGTATGAGTCTCAAAGTGAACTCCGCTGGAGGGAGTTCTATAAGCTCCAACTGTGAGTTAAGAGACAGAAGGGTAGCAGAGGCCCAGGTGTACTTAAGGAAGCTGTGGGGGTCTGGCAGGCAGCTCCTAGAGGAATTACATTTATAAGTCATTTATGGCCGGAAAACAGGGACAGTTAGTTCCAGTACTTGTCCACTATTATAGGGGTGAGGCCCTAGAAGGTGTAGTAGGCTCTAGGAGTCATAAAGGACATTTACCAAGTAGGTGAGAAACAATGGATAGAACTTGAAACCAAGTATCATTAGTAGCAGAAGCCAGCAGAAACAAATGATCTACACACATCTTAAGAGTCAAATCAATAACTTGAGTCACTGTGCAATGTTAAAGCACGGGTACTAACTACAGGGTCATGGGAAACTGCTGCTGACTTTAAAAGTCAGAGATCCTAAATCGAGTGGTAGGTTCCATTGGTTCTTATAACTGTGAGTATGGGGGTATTAAATGGAGAACTGGGAGCAAAAGATTTCCAATAGGTGAGAGATGAGAGGCTTAAGTACCCCTGAGGCTTTAGAAGGAAACTGGGTATTAAGGCAGAGTGTTTTATTTGGTGAGGTTTTGTTATCAAATGATAAGGGGAGAGATATTTGATTACAGAGTGGTTTTGAGTGTCCCATACCCAGGGATCTACCTAAGAGGGAAGTAAGGAAAAAGGTGTCTCAGATCATGTGGTTTGGAGGATGGAATGGCTGGAGAGCCTGCGGTAAAGCAGATGGGGGAGCAAAAGATAGAGAGGTTCCCAATTTGGCTAGGAAGTTCTTTCCCAGGAAGAGGATGGGACAGGTTGGCATCATTAGGAAGGAGTGGATAAGGGGAATACCCCTAATGATAAAGCTAAGTGCTGTTTGGTGAGCCTGGTAAGGCTGACAGTAGAGAACAATGGGAGGTGGGTTCTGAAAACTCTATCGGGACTGAAGAAGTGAGCCTGGTGTCCAGATGGAAGGAGATGAATAGCCCCTGATACTGTGATAACTACCTGAGGCTCCCTGTCAGAGATGGTGGGGGTCAAACTAAGGGAGCCCGGGCCCCCTCAGTCATTTATGGCCAGACCAAGATCAATGGTGATCGAGTTTAATGTCCTCATTCCAGAAGGGACATGGAGGCAATAAACACTTCAGTGCCCTTCTTGGAAAGCACCTTGGACATGGTCTAGGTAGTTTATGTACTGACAGACCTGGGTCCAGGGACCCTCCTGGGCACATTTCAAACAAGGACACAGAGTTTCTTGAGCTTTAGAAGACCAGGGAGTCTGGGCTTCTGCTTTGGCGAGCTGAGAGGCCTTAGCCATCAGACATTTTATTTTGAGGCTTTGAAGGTCACCATTAATATTACTTCTGCCTTTGAAGTCAGGGGCCTTTTCCCTAGACGTTAGCCTTAATATCAGGGAAATTCTGGGAGAAGTAGGTCTTAAGGAGATGCTTCCCACCTTGGTAAGGTGGTCTAAGAATTAAGACAGGTTTTCATACTTTTCCTGTATGACCCTTGGACTTTTATAATTTACAACCTTAAAGGCAGTCTTGCAGGTACTGGCCAGGAGACAAGTTAAAATTTGATCCTAGCTAGGAC